AAGCAGCTGCAGAGAAACCAAAGGCCTCCAGAGCTGGGCTTGCGGCAGAAGGGACATGCATTGCAAAATTGTGTCCATCTCAGACGAGGCTGTTCTAAAGCCCAAGCTGTAAGAGAATTAAGGAAAGTATATCTTTAGTTTTCCAACTTCTGGAGCAGGGAAGGTCACACTCGAAAGGTATTTTGCAAATTGTGAGTTGTGACTCCTGAAAGCATTGTAAAATCATTTCAGAAGGTCAAAATAAGATGGTTTTTTCATAGTCACTAATAGTAGAGGCAACTATTACTTAATGTAAAGAAACTCTTGTCTTAGGGGTGTGTGTGTGTGTGTGTGTGTGTGTGTGTGTATACACGCATCCTTGTTTACAAAGTAGAACATTTCTCCCTCTGGGTCATGGTAAACAAAACCCTCAGAAGTCTCTGTCCTGGAAGTTGGGTGCTGATCTTCCATAGCCAGGGCTCAGAGACAACAAATGGGTAGAGCCCAGAGTCTGCTGAATATGTAGGGTTGGGTTTTAGGAGAAAAATCAAAGCTGGATATCTAGATTATGCAGTCCCTGGCAGGAAGATGCCATTTGAAGCCATGGGAGGTGAGCCACCCAAGGGTACAGTGTGGGGTGTCAAGAGAAAGAGGTCTGGAACAGACCCCAGGGAGTGCAGACATTTCATCTGGGGCAGGAATTTTCTCCTGGGTTGTGCTTGCTCTTGCATGCTGGCATTTTTCACATACCCCCCAGAAAGAGAGCTGGATCCAGGGAAGCCCCTGAGCGCGTTGGGAAGTGTGCCCCAAACACACACTAACGAGGGCTGACTGTGCAGCAGCCTGGCAGAGCCATGGCACACAGCCTGCTGGATCAGAAACCAGCCCCCGGCATGGGGCTGGCGCCACCCTGGCACTCATGATGCGTGTGGAAGGGGTGCGCAGAGCAGACGAGTTCTTGGGAAAGGTGGAAAGAGCTCTGCAGGTTCCAAAGTTCCAACTCGTGGCTGTGACCACAGAGGGGGCTAATCTACTAGCCAAGGTTGACTCAGTAGCTCTGGGCTACTACAGCAGCCCTCTTAGCCACGGTTCCACTTTTCGTGCTTTCACTTACCACAGTTAGCTGTGGTCTGAAAATATTAAATGGAAAGTTCCAGACATAAGCAATTTGTAAGGGTTAAATTGTAGGCTGTTTCGAGGAGCGTGATAAAATCTCGAGCTGTCCAGCTCTGTCCCACTGGGATGTGACTCATCCCTATGCCCTTGATGGCCACACTCCACTCACTCCGGGCCTGTAGCTATAGTGATTTATCAGATCTACTGTGGCTGTATTGCCGTGCTTGTGGTCAAGTCACCCTGAGTTTACTTCACAGTGGCCCCAAGTCAGTTATACCAAAGAGAAGCTATGAAGTGCTTTTTTTTTTTTTTTAAGTGAAAAAGTATGTACATATAGGAAAAACAATATATACAGGGTTTGGTACTCTGCAGTTTCAGGCATTTACAGGAGGTCTTGGAACGTACTCCTTCTGAATAAAGGAGGAACTACTGTATTTATAATTGCTAAAGAGTGTTTTTGTTGCATAGAAAAATGTCAAAAGGGGGTGGGAGATGCCCTACCAGGCGTGGCTCAGTGATTGAGCTTTGACCCAGGAACCAAGAGGTCACGGTTCAATTCCAGGTCTGGGCACAGGCCCTGGTTGCCGGCTCCATCCCCAGTAGGGGGCGTGCAGGAGGCAGCCGACTAATGATATTTCTCTCTCATTGATGTTTTTATTTTTCTATCCCTCTCCCTTCCTCTCTCTCTAAAAATTAATTAAAAATATATTTTTTTAAAAAGGGGGGTTGGTGGGAGCTGTACAGAAGATGTTCTTATTGCGGCAAAATCAGGAGGTAAACTAAATGTGCAGCCATAGAACAATGGGCAGACGGTGGCATGGTTAGCCAATGAGTACTAGTAGATAGCAGTTAAGTGAATGTGCCAGGTCTACATGGATCAGTCTGCATAGATCTCAAAACCTTAATGTTACATGAAAAATTCAAGTCAAAATGTTCTATAAAGTATGATTCTGTTTATTGAAATTTTAAAACCCACACCAAAGTCTACTATCTATCCTGATGGGCGAACAGGCATAAATTTATGTAAGCGAAGGAGACACGTGAACTTCGGGGAATGATTATTCTCTGGGGAGGGTGTAAGGACATGAATGGAGGAGTGAGACTTCAGCTCTATATGGATTATTTTATTTTTTAAAAGAAGCAGAGACATATATCAACATATTAATAGTTCTTAAATAAGCTGGTGAGACATGGGAGAAATATTATTTTCTGTTCTTTTTATAATTAAAAATAAATACAAGTGAATATAAATTTTGTCCAGAGCAAGAATCAGGCTCCCTCCCTTAACCCGATTAAGCAGATGACCTTTAAACAATTACTAGGGAAAGTACACATGCATACATACTCTATGTATATATAACACACATGTGTGTATAGTGCACACACACACACACGTATATATACACATGTATCTACACATGTATCTACACATATACATACACACATATATATAACTTCAAATTAAAACAAGCTTTTCATTTTTTTTATTGGAAAAAATACTGGCCTTGCATATTTCTTCAGTTTCCAAGAGATAGAACTTTTATACTGTGGGACGCTAACCTTTTTCTGAGATTGACCACATATTGAACCTATAGACCATCTGTGTCTCATGTTAGAATGGTCGTCCCGCCCTGGGGTGGGGTCAAGGCAGAGCAGAGGGCAGCCCCGAGCCCTGAATCCTGGGGGCTGCTCCCATGCAGGCCTCCAGCTGTGACCTGGTGGAAGGCTGCGGAACGGGACCGGTGGAGCCCGCGGGAGTAATGGAGCCAGAAGTCAGGAGGCAGGACTCGCACCCGGCTCCGCTGCTAATCCTGTGTAAGGGCTTCACAAGTCCCTGCCTAGCACTGGGCTTCCATTCAAACGCTGGCTCTGCTGATCTCTCAGGATCTTTCCCGAGATGACACAGGCCACTTACCCTCCCAGCTCAGGGGCTTTTCCGTGGGTCAGAATAACCAGTGGTATGAATTTTCCCAAGGGCAGGAGTACAGTTAGTCTACATTAGACTTGTTCCTTTGCATCAACTCACCCTCCTCTACACGTTCTACAAGTACACTGTGTGTGTGTGCGTGTGTGTGTGTGTGCGTGTGTGTGTTAGGGGGCAGAAGGAAGAGCAGTTGAGATTTTACCAGAGGCATATGTGTTAGGTAGCCTGAGTTCCCCGTTACAAAAGTAATTTATTTTCCTTGCAAAGATGGTGTCATCTGCTCGTTATATTCCCAGGGGCTGGTGACCCCTCAGGGAGTAACACAATTTAGTTTTGCACTTCCTAAGTTGTCCACTCCCTACGCATCTATCGGGTGAGTTACTAAAGGTGATTCTTCTACTCTTTCGTCTTGCTACAACGTTCCCTAGGTCTTCAGCTGTTGGCTTTCCAAGTATTGCTTGAGGGAGACTGACCTTGGGAACCACTCACAATGTCAAAGTCAGGCACCTCTGCTCAGAGGATGGTTGGCGAAAAGTGAAAATGGAATCTTTTTGGAGCTGGAATAGGAAAGGGTAAAAAATGTGCTTCATTTACAGGTACCTTTTCAAGAATGCATGGATGAGTTGGTTTAAGGCAAGGTTCATTTGTCCTGCAGAATTAGTACAACTCAAATGCCAGAGGCTTCCCTGATTCTCTAGCTCTGGTCATCAAAACCGGCCTATGTTTTTACCACATACCAGCTTGTCTTGCTGAGTTCAACACCTCTTCCCACGCCCCCTGGTCCAAAAGAATCTACTCACAGAAAGCGTTTAAGAGAAATGTAGACTTTACTGAATATTTTGTTGACCTAGGAGGCATCAACAGAGCATGCTGCTCAGCAAATGACTTAAAATTTTCCTTTAGTCATTTCTGTTCTCCCAAGTCCATCTCACCCATACCACCAGAGCTGATTTTTTTCTTCTTTTACATTTTTTCTAATCTTTCTCTGACAAACTTTCCTGAATTACTACTCCTTTCTTTTCTCTCCTTTTCTTGAGAAAAATACAAATTTTGCTCCATTTTTTTTGCACAGCAGTTAAGGGTCCCTTTTCTTTCTGAAGCATAACCTCAGGGATTACACTTCAAGTCTGATGGTCCTTTCAAACACTAAGATGCTCCTTCAAAGATGATGGACGTATGTAAGGGGAGATGTAGCTGGAGCAATCTCCTGGCTACTCAAATCAGGAGATTTGGTTGCCATTGTTCAGAAGGCCTTTTCACCATCTTCAGGATCATCACTGTCCATCAACAACTTTGTGGGGCCTTAAAAACCTCCATAGAAATTGTCTTCTGAGAGGTGCTTGAAGTAGGGAGCAGGATGAGATCACATGGGGGATGGCAGCAGCTGTGTCCTGACCAAAGGATCGCACGCATCCCCTTGACCGCTGCGCAATGACGTGAGAGTCCCCTGAACATACTGTTCTCTCCTGATAGGAAACAGAAACCATCTGTCCTTGAGTCACTGTCCATCTTAACTGGATTGCAGTCAAGCCTGGTCAGATGGTTGTCCAAGTATCCACAAAGCCTCTTAGATTCGGGGTGGTCAGTTTGGCAATCCTTTCTTTTACCCATTTTAGGTCCTACAAGTCACATCATTTGGCAACGTGCCCTGGACCTTGTCTCCTAATTCTGACTCTGTTGTGGTGATATGGAGCCAGATGCTGCTAGTACCATTGGTTTTATACTGGCGGGGAGGGGGCTTCCCTCTGGTTGGGGGCTTCCAGAACACTGTCTGGAATCTTAGTTCACAGGTCTGTGATAAGAGAGGCTGGTCTTCTGCGATGGAGGACGCTTTGGAGAGATTCAGACCCAGCCCCTTCATTTTTCAGATGGGGATCCTGAGTTCCAAGGAGGGGGAAGGAATAGCTCCAGGCCATACAGTGAGTTAGAGGATGGGGCATAAATCCATCCTTTCTGATTCCCATGCAGGGCTCTGTCCACTGCACCACATTGCTTTCTTACCTTCTATCTGAAAGATACTTCATTCAAAACTCTCTTTTGAACCCTGGAGCTGTATCTTTCCAAGAGACAGAAGGAGAATCATACTATTTAATACCTTTTGCAGTTTCAGTCTTGGTCTAAAGTTTCCTTTTGGCCCAAGTGTTTGGATGGATGAAGTGCTGTATGGTAGAAGCCAGGAGAAAGGGTTCAGTCTGAACTACTGTATAAGAAGACAGACAACACGTTCTCAAGGGGAAAGGTGTTTGTATCCACATACTGGAATTTCTCCACCTCGACCGAGATGGTGGTGTTGACCTGGAGGTGCTCCAGCAGGAACTGAGAGAGATTCTGGTATATGTTTTTGGTTTGCACTCCAGACTCACACACTGTCACCAGTGTCTGCTTTTTGACATCTTTGTTGATGAGAAGTTTCAACTTTAGGTCGACAGAATGTTCCGGGCATTTCACAAGAAATTGCAGTTGGCAGATAATGACGTACCAACCTGGGAACTGGATCACCAGATTCCCATCCTGATATCTGAGTCCGTGGACAATGCCGTCTTTGTTCCAAGACAACTTGGTCTTGTTTATGTGCTTTGACACTGGAAAGAGAAGGAGAAATAAAACACAATTATTGGGCAGATTGCAGGTGCAGACTGGAAAATTGCAAGTCTTTGTTCAAGGTTCCCCACTGAAGACCCATGTCTTCTACACTATTGTGTGCTGTTCTAACCATCCAGAATGTCTTCTGTGCTACTCTTCCAGGTGCTGCTTAATATTCTAGGCACAGGCACAAACTGCCTCTCTTCTGTTTCCCTAATGTTCAAAGCTGAGGAGAGACCACACAGGGTGTTGGACCTTTACCTCCTATAGAATTGTTTCCCACTTAATTATGATACTATTTTATCATTATAATTATTATCTTTGCCTTTTCAGACTATAAGCTCCTGGACTGTATTCCCCATAAATTCTGGATTATTGTCATTTTTTCAATCCATCAATGAATGTTTGATCAATAGGAGAGCTACTCTGGTAGGCATTGCACAAAATATCAGAATCAGGACATTCATTTTTGTTCACTTAGTAGCCAATTTAGGCATCAAGATGTCCAGGAGAATCTCAGTCTGTTCACATTCACATTAAGATACATCATTCAACCATTCATTGTCTAAATTTTTAAATGTCTTCCTCACTTTGGAAGGGCAGTCAAAGAACTGTGAGGACCCTTCACGTGCACATTAAAGGGCTCTTCCCAGCTGGGATGTATAGGAAAGCAGAGCATTAGCAGATCCTCAGAAGCCAGATCTCTCTGAGCCCTAACAAGTGAACATCAGCCCTGATTGGTCAGGATGCCTTTCAGAGCTGGGCACCTGGTGTGTTAGTTTTAATTGCTCCTGTGCCTTTCCTTTAAAGCTCATTGCAATTCAGTTGAAGAGTGCCAACTAATCTAACTGCAAAACTGAACTAAAATGAGCAGAAGGGCTATTCAGAGAATCGTGGCCATGTCTCATCCTTCCTGGTGTAAGGATGCTCTCATGACTTCATTTACAAGAGGCCTCTTACTTTGCTGCAATATGTAAATAGGCCCTGTGCCTATCTGCTCATTAAGTTGTCAATCTGAGGACAGAGCAGTTTTGTGGTCCCCTTGGAAATAACTTGATAGAGACAGAGCTTAAGAGCCTGCTTGCCTTGTATGAGGAAACGCACTATGCACTGAGTCTGCAGCTTGTAGGTGGCAGAATCAAGAGAGGTGGTGGGGGTGGGACACGGATGCCTTCAGGGGCCAGGTAGGCATGGGAAAGAGTGAATGGGGCTGACAGAAAGAGGAGCCTTGTATTTTAGGGTAACTCTCTTTTCTTTTTCCCCTAAGGCATTTTAATTGAATATTTAAAAAATAGCTTGCAGGCTAAACAGAACACATCTGCAGGTCATATTTGCCATTGGCCACTACTGGTGACCTCTGGCTTAGAAGTTTTGGAAAGGCCTCAGGAAGTGGCTGGCCCTCAGGTGGTCGGGGTCCCTGGGTTTGTTTACTGACCTTGGAGGTAGGCCCATGACTTCTTGAACGGAGCCCTTTGCAGGATACATAAGATGTCCTCTGAGCAGTTCCCTAAAAATGAAAGCACAGGTTAACTGTCTTTCTCTGCTCGGGGAACTGGAGACACCAGACCTCCTTTCGTGACCCTTTGCTGGAGACAGTTACCATTCTGTTTCCATTTGGTGCAAAAGGAAATCCCTGTAGTTCTCATTTTACCATCAGGTACCTTAGTATTTTAAAGAATTGATTGCTTCCACCTGGGCTTTTACAAAAGCCTGTGGAAGTTGGGGGATGAAAACATATATGCCCTTGGCTCCCGTATGTACCAGCTGCCATTCCTGTCCTATTACCTGTTTCACCTCACTTACTGTTTGAAGCAGCTCCATGACAGAGGTATTATTAAGTCCCCTTGATAGATAGAAGAAGTCTGGGGACCAGACAGATGATGTACATTGTCCCATGTCCCTCAGCCAGGCAGGGGTAGGACAAGAATATTGACTGTAACTGTTGCTGCCCTTCCTTTGAGAGTGCACCAGACAGTGGACTGTGTACTTGTGCGTATTGCAGCTAATTTAACTCTCAGAATGACTCTGCAAAGTTAACTCTGCGCCTAGACGTGGTCAGTGGGACAAGGTCAAGCAGGTTGGCGGGAATGCTGGTATATGATGCCAGAGGCCAGGTTTCCTCCTCGAGGCTGTTTTGCTAGATGGGAGATAAGCAGGTCCTTGTGCTTGCTTTTAAGAGGATCAAAGAGATCTAAGCAGGGAGCCTGCTCTTGGGAGCGCCCTTGGTGGGGGAAAAAGACAATGTTTATGTCATTATGGCATCTAAGATATAAAATATTTTAAATATTTTCACTGGTGATGGTGGTTTAGCTCCTTCTTATTATAACTATTTTGTGTGCAAAGGACCAAGTTATACATTTCCCACAGTGCCTCATGAATTCAGCTTATCCTGGGCGAATTCCTTTTTCCTTTGGGCCTTGGTTTCCCTGGCTGTAAAACTGGCAGATCTATGACCTGATACCGACATCAACACCTTTTGGATGATGTCACCATAAGTGACTATTCATTCCATCCGTCAGACACCGGGCAGCCATAGGTGGATCCAGCTGAAGCCGCTTCACCCGTGACTTTGCTTGCCGGGTCTCGGAGCAGTACTTGGGCTCACGATCTTCCCACGGCCCTCTCCTCCCAGGCCTGAGAAAACCCCTCCCGGTCTTCACAGCACTAGGAAAGGCTGACTGTTGAGTGGAGAGTTCCCGCTGCTGCCTGAATGAGCTCGCTGCTAGGGGCACCTTCAGCAGGAGCAGCGGGCAACCCCCATCCTTGCCTGCCCGCGCCCCTTAAAGAGGCTCTGCTGCAAAGGTCCCTGGTGACGAGGGCTTCTGATCCCACCTCTCACTCAGGCTCCCACGAGCGTTCTTGCCCTGCCTGTTTCGGCCCACAGCCCACACTTTTGGGGTGCGCAGAATCAGAACTAAAACACTGAGGGCTGCCTCCTGCCGAATGCGCTGTGACGGCTGCTGAGGCCGCCCTGGCCCTGCCTCCTGTTTGTGGGGTGTGGAGCATGACGCCAGGAGGAGTCATGGGGAGGCACGTTTGGCTGCATCTCTTCCCTGCTTGACCCCCTTTCCGACTCTAGTGTGCCTGCGGGGTCAGGGCCAAGCTCCTGCACAGGGCCTGCGTGCTCCCTGGGGTGGCATCCCACGCCTCCTGTCCTAATGAATAACAATAGCTAATACATATTGAGTGACGGCTATTTTCCAGATACTTTACTAAGCACGTTACGTGCATTATGTTACTTAGTCTTCACAATCACCCCCCAAAAATGGATTACAATGCTTTCTATTTTGTGCACGGGACATCGAGGTTTTGCAGGGCTGGCTGACTTGTCTGCACTCACACAGCCAGCCCGTGGCGAGTGGAGCATCCAAGCCAGGCCGGCCCACTCTAATGCCTGAGCGGGCTGCTCACTGCTCTACTGGGTTTTGGGGCTTCTTGGGTCCCCAAACACACCATGTTGATTTGCCATTCTGCTGGGAACCCCCCTTCCCTGGGCAAGCGAGGACCCATCAAAAGCACAGCCTGGAGTCATCTCCTCCCCAGACCTTCTCTGGCCCTTCCCTCCTCTTGCCCAGTTTCCCCCTTTAGCCGGAGAGAGGCTGCTGTTGGTGCACCTCACTGCCCGGCCCGGAGGAGGCCCCGCAAGTGTTTGTCGAACTGAACCATCCGGCCCATCTCTCCTCGCCCTGTGAATGCCAGGCGGGCTCCTGAGGCCTGGGCAAGGCCCTGGGGGCTCGGCTTGCCCTTGCCTCTGGCTGAGATCACGCCAGGCTCCTTGCCCGCTGGCCTGCAGGTCGCTTGGGTGGAACGGGCGGGTGGGGCTCGTGGCCAGCTTATGGCACCAAGGGCCAGCTTATGGCACCAAGGACGGGCTCCGGGCTCCGCTCGCAGGCCAGGGGGCCCTCGCCGCGCCGCCTCAGGTGAGACCTGTAAGCAGATGACTAAGAGGACAAGCCTGGGCTTGCCTCGTGCGCACACACACACACACACACACGCGCTTCTGTTCTTTCCACTTTGGTCTTGCGTGTTTGATGGGTAGACCTCAGCCGTAATTCTGAGAAACCGAAGGATGGAAAACAAAACTTATTTTGAAGCATTTGCATTTCCTGATGTCAAATGGCATGGCGTATTTTAATTGTTCATATAGAATCTTTTAGATGGTTTCAAGTGAAGGGAAACACACGGGCAACCCCCTTTAAGGATGACATTGCTAAGGAAAGGGAGCAGGGACCTGGATACTGGAGGCGTTGAATGAATGGGGTGGTTGAACCCGGAGGGCAGCCCATAGGAGGCCTCTGCCACCTGACGAGCTGTCAGCAGGAAGATGGCACCACCTGCTCTGGAGGCCCAAACGCTAAGGCTCCAAGTGCATGTTTAAGGAGATAACACAGTCAGCTGAGGGCTAACGCCGCTCTCATCCCATTTCTCAGGTGAGGCAACGGGAAGGCCTGCACTAAGGACACACAAGCCACACTGGTAGTCACAGTACTGGTGCCCCAAATATCTGACCTGTCAGTGCTGTTCAGAGAGGCGTTGGGCGGCTTTGAGGGTCACGGGGCTCTTGCAAAGAGCTAGGTGAACGTTTTATGCGGCTCATGTCTCTTCACCCTGGGAACCCATGATCTGACTTTCTTTTTTGGGTATGAAGACAGGAAGGCGTGACTTATAAAGAGCTAGTGCTACGTGCAGCTGGAATCCTGTAATGTCCGTGGAATTCGAATGCTGGGAATATTGGGAAGCAAAATACTCCCTGTTTCATTAACTTCCTAGATGAACATAGTGTCTCGGGTGGGGACTGGTTGAAGAGCTGAAGACTTGCATGGGGAAAACGAAAACGTTCCGTAAGTCATGGCTGAGTTGATGGTCTGGGAGTTACAGTCTAGGAATTTCCCCTCTCTGGACTCTTGTGTCCCTTGGTAGATGAAGAGCAGTGTGGACTTGATGATTTAGAAAGGCTCTTCTAGCCTGTTCTAGCAGGCTGTCGGCTCAGCTGTACACTGCCAGGCCTGCTACAGGGGGAAAGCTAGTCCCAGCTCCAGCTGTCTGCCTTTGTGGGCTTGTTGCTCTACCCCAGCTAGGAGACTGTCCTCATATATTCAGTTTCCCGGACACCTGCCATGGCAGAACAGGACATTTGAGCTCTGGGGGTAATCAAAGTTATAGAGAGCCTGGTTCCATAAGGATTTGCATAGTTCATAGGAATAGAAGTTCCCTAAGAAGTCACCTGGTCAGGCTTGGTAACCACATAATACATGTGCTCCCCAATGTTACCCCCATGGCATACTTGTCCTAAGTCATTTAGTGAATTAGAGACAGGGGCAGGACCAGGGTCCAGGGCTCCCTACTCCTTCTGTGGGGCATTCCATCTCTCAGACAACTCACATACTCTGTGAATTCTTCTGAGGACCAAGGCTTTCCAAGGGGGAGGATTTGTAAGCTGTTTTCCCAAGCTTTGGACTCCTCTGGAAGGGTCATGAACCTTTCTTAGGCTTTTTTTTGGAAGCCCTAAGAGAAATATGTGCCAATGAAACCCTCTTGGCCAATTGCACAGAAGAGAGATGTTGCTTAAGGTGGTTGAAAGAATCATGTTCTAGAAGGCAGATGAGTGACAACCTGAAGACTGGACCCCACCTTGAGATCTCATGATGTTAGGCCTAAAAGGGCCATTACATGCCAAGTTAACCACGATCCTAGTTCTATGAGTGGGGAAACTGAACCCCAAGGGGCTGAAGGTATGGCCCAAGACCCCACAGTAACTTAGTAGCAGAGCTGGGTTCAGAGCACTCCTACTCCAAAGCTCTGCACCTGTTTTGGGGTCTTCCCTTGGAGACGATAGGGTTAAATGTAGGAAGATGTGGGTTTGCAGCCACCATAAACACTGGTCTGAAAACAAGACAGCTGGAAGTGCTAGGAAAACAACCCTCTGGGCTCCGTTTTATGGGAGAATGCCAGAAGGTAACCAGGCCCCTGTGCTGAACCCTGCCAAGTCATCAGCCAGGGCAATCAGGCTTATAGTCAGATGCAACCATGCCCAAGGCGGCAAAACAAACCACACCAACCACTGCAGCCAGATGGTATGTGGTCTGAGTGCCAGGCACCTTCCAGGTTGATATCAGGACAAGACAGACACAACGCATCTCAAAACCAGCACCTGGGCTCTCGTCAAGGCTTTTAGCTTCAGACCTGTCACTTCCTCTTACTGACCCTCAGTTACTGCATCTGTAAAGTGGATATAACACCCGACCCAAATGTATGGATGGAGTCACGATGCAATGAGATTACAGAGGCCAAGTGGAGCACGGGACTCAGAGGAGACAGCCAGCAAATGGGGTTCCCTCCTCCCCGACTCCTCCTTTCCTGGTTATTACAGTGGCACAGCCTAAAGATACCGCTAAGCAGAGCCATCTGGCTGATGAAATGCTCATTGAAACAAAGCTCCTGGCATTACCTGATGGATCAGTTTCTCAGTTACAGACATAAGTGTCCAAGGCCATCTGACACTTCTGG